AGGACAGACAGTAATATCACAACCATTTAGTACAGGAAAAAAATAAAAGGGAATTGGAGGCTTTGTCCAAGGTCTCATAGTTGTAATAAACCTGAATTTGGATCTTATGATGCCAATTCCTATGCTTTTGAATCCCTATGTTTTTTAAACAATTTAACCTGTTAATCTGTTTGTACATCTGTTTCTTAGGAAGTTGAAGACTAGACCAAGCTTTTTAAATATCTGAAGACAATTCCATTAATATTTTATAACTATCAGAGTTGTCTGAGTATTTAGAATTTGATTAGAACAAAAATATTAAGTGTTGAATAATATTATATCATGCCAAATACATTTCTTTCTTCATATATGTAAAAGAAACTGTGTGTGTGTATATATGATTTAACATAAATAAAAACAAAATTAGGCTAGAAAGACACATGCAGATATAACTTATCCCAGTCTGTTATCAAACTGGAGGAAAATCCTATGAACAAAGGCAAGTAAGACCAGGTTGATGAACTGTGTATGTCATACTAGAAATGAAGCAACTCAAAAGAAAGAATTCAGTGAATTTATTCAACCAACTAAAAATAAAAATAAATAAACAGAAACCTATTGTTAGACACTGTGAACAGAACTCAGGCAAAAATGTGTTGTCTAGATAATAGCCTAATAGAGAGAGCAAATTAAATTGCTTTTCAAGTTAATCACTTAGAAAACTGAGCACTTATTAACAGTTTTTTTAATGCACACAAAAAAATGAAATTGTGCAATATGAGAAAACAACTGACTAAAGTCACCATAGGAAGCCAAATTTAGCCCTCCCAACATAAGCATTATGCAAATGTGAGACCAATGGAAATGTTAGCTGGAGCAGTAAGTTATTTTCCCAAAGAAAAAAAAAACTCCAGAAAACTTAATTTTTTTTTTTTGTCTTCTATTCTTTTTTTTTTTTTCGGCATATTATGGGGGTACAGATTTTAAGGTTTCAATAAATGCCCTTTCCCCCCTCCCCCCACAAGTCTGATTCTCCAGCATGACCATCCCCCAGATGGTGCACATGTCACTCATTATGTATGTATATACCTGTCCCCCTCTCCCCTCCCCCTTCCCCAATACCCTGTTACTGTAGTACCTATGTGTCCACTTAGGTGCTACTCAGCTAATACCAGTTTGCTGGTGAGTATATGTGGTGCTTGTTTTTCCATTCTTGGGATACTTCACTTAGTACTATGGGTTCCAGCTCTAACCAGGAAAATATAAGATGTGCTATATCACCGTTCAGAAAACTTAATTTTTTAATGAAAGTTTTCTTGTGTTTTCAAGTAGAAGATCACATCAAAATAGTCCATTTTAAAAATTTTAAACAATCGACACATGAAAGATCATACAAGTTTCATCAAAAAGCTTATTTGAATTATGACGCAGAGAGAATGAGACAGAGAACAGCATTTCAATCATTTCATTGTGCTAGTGTTTCTTATTTAAAAACCAATCTTCCTACCAACATATAGAAAAATTAAAATGTTTTAAGCCAGAGTACATTTATGTTTGGCAAAGAGCACACTGGCAATTGCTTTGGCAAACGAATGAATGAAAACTATACAGAAAGATACAATGTAGATAGAAATATATAGATCTTTCATCTCTATCTATCCATCCATCTATATCTCTCTAACTAGCTAGCTGTCCATCCACCTGTCTATCCATCCTATACCTGTATCTCCATCCACCCAAATTTATGTATCCATGTTCCTATCTATCAGAGAGAGACTCTTAGAAAGTACACAGCAATTAACTTATTGGGAAATTACAAGACGTCTCCTTTGACCAAACTTGAGTCAGATTCCTCTGAGCCACCTTTTACATGAGACCTCAACTTTTGGACTTCTGTCTCTATCTTGGCATAACCCAATTTTAGCAAAAAATCCTGCTAAGTCAGTTTAGCAAGAATCCCCACCCTACATGTCTAATCACCCTCAATACTGATCATTCCTGATCTCCCCCTTGGAATCTAATCACCTGGCTTTCCTTCAGCAAGAATCCTAATGAGTTAGTTTATTCATTTCTGACATTTCCTCTTAGTAATTTTCCACCCATTGACCCCCTCTCTGCTCTTGGCTATAATCCCTACTTGCCCAGGCTTTCTTCAGAACTGAGCCCAGCTCTATACAGAGGTCTCTTTCCCCCTATTACAATAATGCTAAATAAAATCTGTTTGTACCACTTTAACTATTGTCTGGCTCTGGATTTTCTTTGGCAGGGGTTATTATTTTTTGTTGTAAAGAATTAGAACTCTCAAATAATAATGACCATCAATTTTAGTGTTTTTTTAAAAAGATTTTCAGTATCCTTTCATAACTGTTTCATTTTTATTATCAAAATTGAACGGGAGGTGGGTAGTCCAGACAGGCATTTTCCCCTGCTTTCTTCCAGGTTATGAAATTGAGATGCAGAAAGGCCAAAACCAAGAAAATAAGTGTTAGAGCCAAGGTCTCCAGACTCCTAACCCTGGACTCCTTCCACCAAGTCAGAAATACTTCTCTAGGAGTTGTGAATCAGAACACTATCAACTGTGGTTTCAGAAGATGAAATCATTCTAATATGTCTAGCTGTTGAATTAAACTTTGTGCCCAGCAATAAATTAACTAATATGAATATAGAAGTATAGAAAAAAATCACAAAAAATGCATAATTTGAAAGGTCTTCAAAGAGGAAAAGAAACAAATCCAGGCTGGTTTCTAGGTTTATAGTCAGAAACTTCTAGATCTGAAACCTTATAACTATGTGACTTTGAATAAAGGACAGAGTACTCAGATCACTATGAGAATTTTAATATAAAGTGCCTGCCTCATTGCTTACCATCTGGTAGGGACTCATACAAATTTTTCACTTTCCTTTATCTTGGAAGACATTCTTTGCTTTAATTTGTCAACTGCAAAACTAGGTTTTAGCATCTGCTTTTTTTGCAATAATGATTTAAGATATGCTATTTAAACGAAAAGGACAACGGAGAAATTTGAAAGAACATGTAATCAAATTCTAGTATACATACATGTAATATAAATATTAATGATTATGGTTCAGATTATGGAAAGAAAAGAGGCATCAATGTGTTTTGGCATGTCAAACATGAACATTAAATTATTTCTAAGTTTAATTCTGCTCTGATATTATAAGATACTACTGTGGATGGGAGAAAAGGGAAAATTCTTACTTTTCTTTAACCTTCTAGAATATTAACTAAATTTCCAAAATGCTGTTTGGACCACATTTACAAATGACAGTGGTAGAGGGGAAATTTAAAAAACAACATCATGTTCTCAGGTAAGATATTCTCTTGTACTCTCCTCTACCCTATCAACTAAGATTTTAATGTAAGAACTTCTTTCTCTGCCTAAAGATGTCACCCATAGGGGTGACAACAGGACTGGGCCACTTCATGGAATCTCCGTGTAGATACACAACATTCAAACTTCTACAAAATATATTTTACACTAGTCACTGTGATATAGAGGGAAGATTGTCAAATGCAATAAATTCTAGACAGACATTATCCTAACCTAATCTTTCTCATTTTCTCTTTTGAAAATATGCTTGAAATCCCATATGAATTATTTCTGAATCTGTCATTTTGCCTGGGGTTGCCTGAATATGGGGAAAAAACATAATGGAATTCACCAAGGGGAGGTAGTTACTTCATTTGCTTTTTAGACTCAACAAACATGTGCTAGATACTGAAAATTCAACGAATCGTTATGGTGAACTATAACTGATTTCCACTTAACTTTTGGAAGTTGATCTCCTGACACAGGAACATCTACATATAAACAATGAAGGCCACTGCCAAAAATGTAGATATTTAACATTTGTTAAATCAATGCCTCTCTAAATACTTTCAGCCATTGACTCTTTTAGTTCTATCTTTAGGTCAATAATGACAAAAGCACTTGAAAGGTTAAAGTTGTTTTATTTTTCCTTCAAGTCATACTAAACTCTTTAAGTCATATTAAACTGAACATGATGTGGCTTCATCGGCAACAGGATCACCACTCTTACCCACTCCAGCAAAACCAAGTAACTTTTAAAACGTTAAATCTGGCATTTATCAGAAAATGATTATCAATGGACTTTTTGAGAATCAAGTGTGATAAATTTTACATGTGCAATTTTAACCCTACCTAGGTTAACATCCCAGTTTCACCACTTAAGAGTGGAGACCCTTGAATAGCTTACTGACTTTTCCAAGACTTGGTACTCTCATTTGCAATACCTGGATGTTAGTTAATAATACTTAAATCGCAGGATTGCTGTGAAGGCTGAAAATGCTAATCTATTTAAGCATTCGGTCTTGCACATAGTGCACGGTATGGATGACAAGTAAGGTAAGTGAAGCTGGTATTAATAGTCTTTTCACCTCCATTTTACAGATGCAGAAATATCACTCAGAATAGTTAAATTGTTTATTTAAAGAAGCACAGATAGTAAATAACGTGTCCAAACTTCAAATATCAGTTTGATGTCCTCTATTCTCTTCCTTTATATTAAACTTCTTCATTTAAGCCCATAATTGGGTCTACATATGTTATCTGAATCATAAATGTTTTTGGTTAAATCTTTTTCAAGACGAAGAGCAATAAACCTATGTAAAATGGAAGATCCCAAATACGTCTAATCTTTTAAAATGTTCTGTGAACTCATGGATTATAAGAACATTGAAAATAACTCAAGAAAATCTCAACTTTGAATCAAATATATATTCATCAGATATACTAAGGAAATTGGTTCAATTAATGGTGGTTTACCAAAATAATTTTCTTTTGTTTTCTTTAATATGTTATATGTAATGATTAATCTAAATTGTAATTACAGACCTGACTATATTGAAAAGTGATCACAACAAACAAGACTGTTCTAATATTTAATAATTACACTTATAAAAGAAGTGGCTGTATGCCAATTAAAGCAACAATTTTTTCACAGTGGGAAAAAGAAACCTTGAATGTCAAAACACTTACTGCAGCTTGCCGATGAGTATTGGACAATATTCCATGAATCTTCACTTTATCTTTTTCCATTTGGTCTATGTTTACCCACAGATCCCTGCTGGCAGAATCAGATGGACCATATATCCGAGATATATAGTAGTTGTGGTCTGTGTCTTCCTGTAATAATAGAGAATAATATAGATCAAGAACAGACATTTTGTTCTTAAAATTCTTTTTTAAAAAAATCCTGTTGAACTTAGAAGTGTTAGTAGTCTTCAAAATAATCACATGACTTAAATAACCTTTAAGTGAAGTGAATTAAGATGAAATATAAATTAGTAATTTTCATCAGAAGAAATTGTTAAATATACAAAATTTAGAAGCAAATATATATTCTGTGTACCACAGTAAATGTTAGAGATCTAATTGCCACTTGTACGAAAATGTCGTTTTTAAAACTATTTACTGAAAATCTGAGCTATAATTAAGATTGAGTGACAATAAATTCAACCTCTCTTCTTTAAAAATAAGGTTCTATCAGAGCCTGCTTTTAGTTAATTGTTCTAGAAATGGAGATAATAAAATTTTTCCCTTTAATTTAGTCCTTTAAATTCTACTTTCATTTGAATTCTCATTACTGGTGTTACCATGGTACCTACCATAAAGGCTTTATTTGTCATGTTTCCACTCAATGAATAGATTTAAATGCTTTAAAAGACAATTTTGATGAGGAACACCCAGAAAAAGTCATATGATCCTTGGCTAATTCTGATTGTAATTTTTTAAACCATGAAATGCAAATGTGCTTATCAATTTGAAGAGTTACTGGATAGAATATATTTTGAAACATTCAGGTAAATGTAAGAAAAATGTTGAGTAAATAGAAGATCTGTGTTTGAATAATAAAGTTTGGGATGTGAATTCTGTTTAATTCATTTATTATCTAAGTACTAATTAAATTAAATAAAATGATTTTTGAAATCTAGTCTAAACAAGGATCCCATATACTTTTTCACAAGTCATGAGACTAATTATATATAAAATTGATTATGGAAAGGAAAAGAATATTCTAAGTTGTATTCTAAATAGATTTTGCCTCATGACCAAAAGAAACAATATGACCAAAAATGTAAATGTTGAAAACAGTGATTAAATGTTAACAGTAAATTGCTGCATTTTATAAAATAAACATCCTAGATATGCCTCCAATTAAACTTTCAGTATCACATACATATTCATCTTTGATGAAAGAAAAGGAAGTTCTGCAGAAAATGAAGAAAAAGGTGGATACAAAGAAAGAAGCAGGAATAAAATGCAGCCCAAAAGATCTTTGATATCCTGATGGGTTTCTAGCCCTCCCTTCCAGAACCTCCTGACACTGATTGAGTTCTATGAGGATATAAAGCATGTGTTTGTGTCTCCAGCATATATGTATTTAACTCCCCCCTGCTGTCTCACTTCGCCACTGGAAGCTTCAGAGGTGGGTATCTGCCTTGACATTGGGCTCAAGGCATTTTGCACATGTCATTTTACTGGCCACAGTGTTTGGTGGACATGCATGAGAATATAACCTATGAAGGAGAAATTACTGAGACATTCAGTTGAGGTAGAGAGGAGAGTTCAGTTGAGGTAGAGAGGAGATTAATTCCCCTTATTCTGATTGCTGTGAGGTGTAGATGTGAAACTTGGAACCATGTCCATTTTGCTACCATGAGGAAACCCTGCCTGAAGATAAGGCAATCACATAGATAAAGGCAGAACTGTAAACACTGCAGAGAAAGAGCCAGATCCCTGATCAACTATATCTAAGTGTGACTTACTACTAGACTTGTTCACTTGGACAAACCATTAAATCTCTTTTATTGTTAAATCACCTTGAGTTAGGTTATGGTCAACCAAAAGACTTCTAATTGAAAAACAAGTTTCTCTTACTTGCAAGCAAATTTAAGCAACATTGAATGAGGCAACCTTGGAAGATTTGCAGGTCTAGATAACAAACATCTTTCATTCTAGTATTCTAGGTAATCACACAGCAGAAATAAATAGCAGTTTGTGTGTAACCTGCTAGAAATCATCAAGTCTCAATAGCAAATGATGATGAGTCATAAAGAGTGGCTCTGAAGAAAATATTCAATGAATTTAAATAAAAGTTTTAAATTTTTTATCCCCATTACTACTATTATTATAGAGTTCAGCAACATTGAAGTTAAAGATATAATCTTTAGATGAATTATGTAAAAGATTCTATGATGCTGCCAAATTTCCATACAATTACTAAATAGATATTCTCTTTAAAATTTCAAACTTTCAAAATAGAGTTCAGTATAATTGTCAAAGTCAATATTTGTAAAATGACTTCAGCATTTTCCACAATCCTTGATTTTCTATAAGTTAAGAGTCTTGAAGTGATCATAAAAAACAAGAATATCATTGTACTTTAACAATGAATTATCTGCAAAAATATTTAGGATTTTATCTAATTACAAAGTACATCATTGATATAGTTATGTGAAAATACACCTTCATTTTTACTTAAATCAGAGCTGCCAAAAGCAGTATCACATCTTTGAAAATACTAGAGCTTGGTTTCTGACTTCTATAGCTTACACTTGCCAAGTTGTCATGGCAACTTTTATTCAAAGAGGAAGACAATTTATTGTTTACTTAGGAATGCAGAGACACAGTTGTTAAATTCCAGAGAGGTGTTTCTCTCAGATATTCAGGAAAACCATAAAATAGAAGTCTCAAAAATGTGACATTTTAGCACTGCTAAATTATTCAAACCACATCTTGTGCTTTTTTTTTTAGGAGTAATAGTACTTAAAGAGTTGTCAAAAGCCACTTCGGGCACAAAGATTTTCATTTTCTGTTCAAAAGCAAACTATTTCTAACACTATAGAAAATAAAACAAAACACTACTGTGATATGCCCAGTTGCCAATTCATTTAGGAAACCAACTGTTACTGAAAGTAGATGGCACAGCAGGTGGCTATAAATCTTATAAATCCGTGTTTCTCAAAAATGCTTGGAAATGTGCAGCTGTAGACAAACAGAAGACATATACCAAAAATATAGATGAAAAAGTCAACAAAACTGTAGCTTAGCTATTCTGCAACAATTGGTCTATGTAATTCCTAACCCAAATGGTGCTTTCTTTTCTAACATAGGTGTTAAGTTGATTTTATCATGGACACTTTTTGTGAATACTTCACATCAACTTATGCAGCATTGGCATTTGAACTCCACATTCATTTCATTGAGAAATAAATAAAAGACACTGGTCAAGAACATATTGCATGGCCATCACTGTGCTAGACATTTGGTATACGTGGACACATAAAACATAATGAAAGTTCTTAGGTAAGGTTATTTAGCATTGAATCAATTGGATACCTCTTGAAGATTGTTCCATAATAAATAAAGGAATATTATAATTTGAATGGTTCTTGCCAGGTGTTAACAAATACATTACATTCTTATCAGAATGATTTCACAAGGACCATGCAGTTCATCTAAAGGTAGTTAGTTTTAAATATTGCTTGTGAATATTATACTCCTCAGAAAAAGCTAAAAGATACTTCTCTTTAAAAAAAAGTCATGTTGATATAAGAAATCAAAAGGATAGGGTAAAATACCATGAGGAGAGAAAAAGTGAACTAATAATACTCAGGTAAAAATTACAGAGATGAACCTATTTGTAGCTGAATAAACGTATATATTACCAGTCAGAACACAGGAAATGGTCCTAAGATACAAACAACATGAAATGGAAAAGAACAATGAGATAAATGTCTAGGACAAGTGTTATGGACTGAATATTTATGTACCCTCCCCAAAATTCATAAGTTGAAGCCTCAACCCCTAATGTGCCTATATTTGGAGATAGGGTCTTTATGGAAGTAATTAAGCTTAAATGATGTCATAAGGATAGGACCTTGCTCTGATAGGATTAGTCCCATTATAAGAAGAGAAATGAGATTCATTCTCTCTCTCTCTCTCTCTCTCTCTCTCTCTCTCTCTCTCTCTCTCTCTCTCTCTCTCTCTCTTTCCTTCTTTTTCCTTCTCTCTCCCTCTCTTTCTACCTTGTGTGAGGACACAGCAAGAAGGCAGCTGTCTGCAAGCCAGGAAGAGAGCCCTCACCAAGAACCCAATCAGCTAGCACATTGATCTGGGACTTTTAGCCTCCAGAACTGTGAGAAAATAAATTTCTGTTGTTTAAACCACCTAGTCTATGATATTTTGTTATGGCATCCCAAGTTGACAAGACAATAGATCATCATATGAATTATAGAAAAAATGGAGATCCAATACATATGTAGTTGGCAAAGAAAAAAGTTTAAATATATTAGAGCAAAACCATTTTCTAAGATAAAGAATTCAATCTGCATACCATGTCCCAAGAAAATTTGCAATTGTATTTTGAGTACTATAAAATTTTCTAATGAGGCTTTCCATATATTAAAAAAGAAGTCTTATAGGCATCTAGAAAGACAAAGTTATCATTTAATAGTCTGATATCTCTCCATGATATCCAGTGTAAACAATGTCTACACAATCTCAGAGAATGAAATTGTGACTCAAGAACTTTTTCCCAACCAAGTTCTACTTTAAGTATAAATGCAAACATATTTCTTTTTATTATTTAATTTTTTTAGAAAGCTTGGCAAGTTATAACAACCATATTTCTAATGCATACAAATATGCAGGGAACATACCACCAACAAGAACTTAAAAGTGCAACACCTAATTATACAATCAAATCAACCAAGGAGTAAATGAAAGTACTTATTACAAAAATAGATCTATTAACTGTATATTGCTCTATATGGCAATGGAGAAGCTGCTGCAAACATTCTGACAGTGACCACTGACTCCATGGAAGTTGAATAATAGTATAATTTATTTATTATGGTTATAAATCAGAATGCAATTGCTATCAACCATGAAAATATAAAAATAAAAGTCTAATTATCTAATGGTTCATAGAGATAATTGCTAGATAAATCTGAAAGAATAAAATATAGTTTACAAAGTAGTAAACTGAAAAATTTAATCTTCAAGGTAACATTTTGAGGCAAAAGTCTAAAACTTGTGGCCTGCATGTTGCATGCATGGCAGTAAAGTTCAAAAAAAATGAAATTCATTATTTTCCTCAAATATAGCACTCATGCTATAAT